GACACGTGTGTTGGTCTGAACACACTACAGAGACACGTGTGTTGGTCTGAACACACTACAGAGACACGTGTGTTGGTCTGAACACACTACAGAGACACGTGTGTTGGTCTGAACACACGTTGAAGCCTTAAAAATGACAGGAAGTGCAGCTGAAAGAGTACAGGGAAATCACATGTGGAGTATCACAAGGATCTAAAAGACAGAACCAATCCTGTATTAGAGATATAATTACAAGCCTCTATATATTACTTCTAACTTGTTTTATTGTGTAAAATCGTGTTCATCAACATTTCAACCCAAGTTTAAGTTTTATAATTATTTTACAATATACTGAAGGGGATTAGGGCCACTGGGAAAAAAAATACTGAGTTTAAACTCAGAATTCTGAGAAAAAAGTCAGATTTTTTTCCAGTGACTCTGATCCTCTTTCTTAATCAAGTCATTCAAATGATGAAAAACTTCTAATATTCATAAACACAGTTTTCMCATCTGATCTCATGAATACGGTCAAACTGTTCCAGAATTACAGGTAAAATGTGTTTTTTCATGATTTTGGTGCTTTAGTGTTTACATAAAAGCATTTAGTACTTTGTTTTTGGTCAGTAAAGGTATGTTGTGGGGTATAACTGAAAATAATGGTTTGCATTTTGTTTTCGTCGTCTCTGCTCGTGTTTGACTTCAGATCCTGAGRGACACGTCTTTCCAGAAGGTGAAGAGGAACCAGAACTGCTTGGAGCCGTGTGTCCGGCAGCTCGTCTCTTGTCTGGAGTCTGATATGGTGAGAACCGGCCCACAGAGTCGTTGGGGAGGGGGAGACTCCTTAAACTGAGTGGAGTTATTGGGACAGCTGGTTTATCACACCGACTCTTATGTTAGAGTTTATATAACCTGATTTATAGAAGACTCTCCTGGTCTGGAGCTGCTTCTCGGAGCAGGCAGAAGCGGGACGTGGTAAATTCTAAAAAAACAAGTAGTCGAAGATGTTTCACTTTTCTTCCAGCTGTAATGAACACCTGAGCCTGCAGGGGGCGCTCAYACTCACCTGCAGTCTGATTAACATGTCTCTGTGTGTCAGACGCAGGAGGACAGTCCGGTGTCCGGCCCCTTCGTCCTGTCCAATCCCGTCACTCCATCCCTTCAGGCGTTTCCTCGAGTCACCAACACGTACGGCTCCTATCAGGTAACGTCTCAGTGATGAAGATGATGCTCCTGCTCCTCAGCATCGCTCTCAAACTCACTTCCTGTTGCCGGTTTGTCTCCGTCAGGACGCCAACATCCCCTTCCCTCGGACGTCTGGAGCTCGTTTCTGCGGCACCGGATGTCTGGTTTACTTTACCCGACCAATCACCATGCACCGCTCTGCCCCGCCCACCGAGCCCACGCCCAGGTAYGCAACAGTCCCAGGTGTTGTTCTGACAGGAGCTCTGCTTTATTTGATTTAAAGACGAAACCTGAAAACACACTTTATACTATAAAAATACAATAGCTGTGTTTCCATTGCAAATGTGCGCAAAACWTTGTCGATATTCTGTTAATGTYGRAAAAACACAGTTTCACAACTGTAGTGTTTCCATTAAGTAA